GTCCATTAGGAACAGGATAGCGCAACAAATTCGACCATTTCCAGAAGACTGACTGCAAAAACAAACATTAGTGTTATAGCAAAGAACTATTCATTTACTGAATGTCCATTAAAGACCAGAACAGAAGACACTGAAAGAATATTAGAAATGTGAGATTGCTCTTTATGATTAATGCATTTGCAACACAGGCTCATTGAATGCAATATGAAGTATGACAACGTTGGTTTCTTTTCGCACTAATGATATTTAGAGGGATTTATTGTTAACAATAATTACTTTGATGCAGTTCTTTAAACAACACATAATAAATACCACAAAACAACTTAATGTCGAAGATTTACATTTTTCGAGAATGATTGCATTTTCTATTTATCTGCATATGGACAACTCTTTCTGGTTTCCTCACTATGTTACTTTGTACGGTGTTGTACTGCAGACCACTCAGGATTAAGATTGGTTAGGAATGGTACCACAAAAAAAAAATAAATAAATAAATGCAATGCAAAATCAAGGTAAACTGTGGTCGCAGTGATCTTTTCTCTTATGTTTGCTTCTGAAAATACTATCATTTGGGTTTTGGTCAGTGGTTTGCTAGCTTATCTGTACATGCCCTGCCTTCTGCTGGAAATGTACAAGTAGGATGCATATCTAAAAAGTACAACAAACTGATCCCTAAGTAACATATTTCAGATTGATGAAAGTGTTGACAGCGCCCTCTAGTATATTTGTCATCTGAAATGTGCAATGAAATGTATTAAGAGCAACATATTTTAAGTTTCACAAAAATGTAGTCTGAGGCACGTATTTACAGTGAGTCTGGATTGTGCATATCTATGTTTTATACAAACTAAACAGTTATTATATTTCATCATTGCTTACAGAAGATTACATGGGGTAATTGTTGAAATTTTGTATCTAATCAAAGTACTAAAAGTGTTTTATTTTTCTATGTATGGTGAATACAAGTCTTTATCCTAAAGTTTGAAGTTACAAATAACATTTGTGAAATATGAATATGTAAAAATAAATGTGCAACACTGTTCCACTGTTCTTAGAACGTGTAACATAGTTTTACACAAATAATCACTATTTATATAACTGATCTTACTGATCTAAATACGCCTAAGAACATTTTTGGCTATATAAACTCATTATATCATTAAACTAAATTACATTTTAGTGACTGTCTTCAATAAATCTTGCTAAAATGTATGATTTATTTTATTGTTTAGTAATAATAAACAGGTCATTTTAAAAATGTAGTAATTTTTGGAGGGATGGATGAAAATATTTGTGTTCGACTTACATATGTACAGTTAAAGTCAAAATTATTAGCCCCCCTGGATTATCAGCCCGCTGTTTATTTTTTCCCCAAATTTCTGTTGTACTGTTGTACAAAGGCTTAATTAGGTTAACTAGGCAGGTTATGGTAATTAGGCAAGTTATTGTATAATCAAATTTTTCTGTAGACTATAGAAAAACAGTATAGCTTAAAGGGGCTAATAATTTTGTCCCTAAAATGGCTTTTAAAAATTAAAAACTCCTTTTATTCTAGCCAAAATAAAACAAATAAGACTTTCCCCAGAAAAAAAATATTATCAGACATACTGTGAAAATTTCCTTGCTCTGTTAAACATCATTTGTTTTTTTTTTATCGAAAAAATACAAATAAAAAAAATTTAAAAATCAAAGGGGGGCTAATAATTCAACTGTTTGTGCATGTTTGTGCATAAATTCACTCCTTATTCATTCATTCCTTCATTTTATTTTGGCTTAGTCCCTTTTTTATCAGAGGTCACCACAGTGGAATGAACTGCCAGATATTTGATTTCGAGTGTCCTTTCAGCTGCAACCCAGTACTGGGAAACACCCATATACTCCTATTCTCTCACACACACACACACTCATACACAACAGCCAATTTAGTTAATCCAATTCATCTATAGCGCATATCTTTAGACTATATAGGGGAAACCAGAGCACCCAGAGGAAACCCACGCCAACACAGGGAGAGCATGCAAACTCCACACAGAAATGCCAACTAGCCCAGCCAGGACTCAAACCAGTGACCTTCTTGCTGTGAGGCAACAGTGCTAACCACTAAGCCACCATGCCACCTTTTCACTCTTTATTCACTATTAAATATTTAATCTATTCAATAATTATTTAATATTATAACATCATCATTATAAAATGAACCTCAACAATTCAACCTTTAAAACTAAATTATATTATATAATTAAATATTTATTATATAATTCAGTTCAGTTTCACAGCAGCATATTTAAATATATTTAAATGATGTTTCACTAATATTTTTGCATTTCTATACAAACAAAACATACACCTTTATCTAATATGGAAGTTTTATTTCTATAATTGCTAAAATATATGTATATAATTTAGACCTGGGTTTCACAATCAATTTCAGTATGCTTAGACATGCGAATCACACTCAAAATGACATTTTTACAGTACAGAAGAGCTGCTTCCAGACATGTGGATGTTTTCATTGTCTGTGTTCACTCACTGTGGTTTGACCTGTTTGTTGGGATGAGAATAATTGACTGACAGTCGTGTGTAAGATGATCTGGAGACGACAGAGCAACAAAGGCACACTGTTGAGAGCTAAAACAGATTACAGCATATGCAAAACTGAGAGCACTGGGCTTCAAATCATACTATACCAGGAACACATGTCATACCGAGTCAAAATATTAATGAATGAATGATGAATGTATATTATAATGGGTTATTACTTCAATAATAAGAACATTCAGACTATGCGGTTGATTAAGAACAAAAAAAAAAACAAAGTTTATTTAAATATTCCTTACATTTATATAGCGCTTTTCTAGACACTCAAAGAGCTTTACACATAAGGGGGAACCTCCTCATTCACCACCAGCGTGCAGCATCCACCTGGATGACATGATGGCAGCCATATTGCGCCAGTCCACACATCGGCTATAAGAAATAAGATGATGTGGCTTTGAATAATTTGAAAATTTAAGTTACTGTGTGGAAGTACTGTTTTTAATTCAGTTTCATCGCTATTATAAGACAATTAATCTTGTAAAACCTTAAATATGAGTTAAAATTTGTAAGAATAGTACAAATAAAATTATTTTAATATAGGAATGTTACTTTATTTACCTTTAGCCTAATTCATTTTCTTGTTTACATGTGTCCTTTTTATTTTTGGATTATATGTAAACTCTTAGGCGTTTATGGTTTATAAAGTGTGATTTGGATCTCAGGTTTTATGCATTTTGCTGCACTTGATGATATTGATGTTAGGGTCAAAGACAAGATTTCTTATTTTACATTAATTCATTTTCTTTTCGGCTCAGTCCCTTTAGTAATCAGGAGTCGCCACAGCGGAATGAACTTATCAAGCTCATTTTTTACGCAGCGGATGCCCTTCCAGCTGCAACCCATCTCTGGGAAAATGTCTTATTTTTGTGTATCACTATTTAGAAAGAATGAAAAGTATCTACTTTAAGATGTTTGAAATCATTTTTGTGAACATGAAATGTCAATTGACTAAATCAAACATCACAAATACATATAAACATTATAGTTATTAAAGTATATAAAATACTTTAAGTGGTCACATTACACTTGATCCTATTTAAATTGAGTAAAAACTTGGCTAACAAGGTAACCGGATAGTGACTTACAAAATGGCTTTTCAATTTAAAATGACTATTATTGAGTATTTTCAAAATTAGGAAAATTATTCTTACTCTAAATATTCAATTTTGATAAGATTTTATTTGCTATTTAAGTTTTTTTTTTAACAACATTTTAGTGGGTTTAATGTTGACTGAGCCGAGCCCAGTTTGATGAGCTGTTGTCCGGTGTCGAAAAGAGGATTTCCCCTCGAGACACCGACTGCAGGCGCTATGTCATTATCACACCCCTACAAAAGCAAGCTCCTGATTGGTTATGGCTGCGTGAATATCCACTGAAGTTCAGATTTTCCAACTCAAGCGAATCGCGCAATTTGCGTGTTAAAGTGTCAAATGCGAAAAATGCTAAATTAACACAGCTTCATTCTCTCGAATCGCATCATTCGCATGAATCACGTCGCAGCGTGTCTATTCGTGTCTTTACATTGACTTAACATGTAAATCACTCGCGCTTCATCCGCGTCTGGTGTGCACTCACCATTACGGTAGTCGAATAATCTAATAAATAGTTTGCACGTTGAGACCCATTTTACTTTTGACGATTTAATGTTACTTGTGTTTTATAATTTTTTTATTACATTTTTTTATTAAAAAAAAAAAAAAAAAAAAAAATATATATATATATATATATATATATATATATATATATGGCTGTATATCGCACTGGTGGGAGGCGTGCGTTGGCCTTAGTGCCCCCACCAGTGCCGATATACAGCCATATCGCACTGCTACGAGAGTGATATTGCGTTTGTACAACAGTTTGACGGCATAATTGTGTATATAACAACAAAATCAAACATGGAGAGTCTTAAAAACCCTTTTGTATGAGGAACTACTTTCTTCCTTGTTGGATTCAAATCATAAGCTGACAGTAAAACAGCTGAGCAAGCATCTTTTAAACTTTAGATCTGTAGTGTCTGCTTTTTGCTGGCTGTATGTGGGCGGAGCAATACACAAAGGGTAAAGAGGCTGTACGGGTGCTGATATTAATTAAATATATCACGGCTATTAGCCAATCAGATCCGGGAACCATACAGAACTTTTGTGTGTGTGTATATATATATATTGGTAAAGGGGCTAAAAATATTGACCTTAAAATGTTTGTTTTATTTTGTTTTTTTTTATTAAAAACTGCTTTCCTTTTAGCCAAAATAAAACAAATAAGACTTTCTCGAGAAGAAAAAATATTATTGGACATACTGTTAAAATTCCTTTGCTCCATTGAACATCACTTGAGAAATATTTGAAAAAAAAAGAAGAGCTTATAATTTTGACTAACTAAAGGCATTTTACCAATGAATTCAGGAGTGTCCAACCCAATAACACACATCCATCCCACCAACTCAACCCCGCCGACCTCTAAGAGAACAACTGCTGTTATGAGGAACAGTCTGGGATGGGTGGGAAGAACAAGCATCGCTCTGTTCCCATCAGTTCCACTCATCTAAATACCTCCATACGGCTTTATGGGCCACAAATAAACCTCCCTGCTGAACCATCGGTGTCAGTGTGTTTCCATTGTCACACCCTCAGCTCTCTTCCTGTCAATCCGGCTTTCAGATCATGGATAAATGTGGGAAACCAGTCGGGGAGAGCAACAGATGCAACTCAGTGCATTCCTCAAACTTCCTGTCCCAATAAGACGCCGGCTTTGTGTTTGAAAGCATGGGCTTGTAAAATGATACAGATGCTTCTGAATTATTGACACTGGGACCTCTGGGATTTCTGACACGTGACTGGTATTAACCCTTTCTCCGGCAGGGCACTGACAGCAAAACAGAGCACAGCATGAATGAACGACACACTCAGACCTCAAACAGGTCGTGCTTTCATGAAGCCCTAAAAATAACAATTGCAAGATCAAGTGATAGCAGTTTTGCTTCTAACAAAACAAGTGGTTCTTATGAAGCAGTTCTAGAACAAATGACTCTACTGAATTGATTCTTTTTAATGAATTAAAAACTTTGAAAACAGTGCAGTTACATCTGATTCCTGTACAATGACTATAATGAGCTGATTTTACTAGTTAATCAAACATATTCAGTACAAAACCATTGGCATAAAGTACTTGGTGTAGTCTGAATTTTGAACAAATGACTCTAATGAGTCAATTTCTTTTAGTGAACCAAAAACAACAACATCCCATACAGTGCAACTAGAGCTGCCTGATTCCCAATCAAATGACTCTAGCGTGATGCTAATTTTAGTAAACCAAACACAGTGAGTAAAAAATATTGTTGTAGAGCTGCCTGATTCCCAAATAAATGACTCTAATGAGATGATTCTTTCAGTGAATCAAAAACAGTGAGTAAAAAAAAAAATTGTAGTTTGAATTTTGAACAAATGACTCTAAAGAGTTGATTCGTTTTAGTGATTCAAAAAAACAACATCCAGTGCAGTACAACACTCAATAAAACGTCCCATTGCAACAGCAGTGCCCAGCAACAGTCCCTCCATTCCACCATTTTGGAGTGAAAGCGATTGGCTTTCCATTGGATCTTATTGAGGTCGCGATGGTAAGCAGCTGCTTTATATTTTATTTATTAATTTTAAAAGTGCATTAAAGCTGAGATACGACCTGAAAGACGACAATACAACACTTATTATCACAATCATCAGCACTTTTAACAGTTTATTTTACAGACTTATAATATCCCTGCTGAAAAATCCAGCCTAAACCAGCCTAGGCTGGTTGGCTGGTTTTAGCTGGTCGACCAGGCTGGTTTTAGAGGGGTTTTGGCCATTTCCAGCCTGGTCTTAGCTGGTCAGGCTGGGAGATGACCAGCTAAAACCAGCTTGACCAGCCTAGACAAGCTGGGAGTCTAGCCAAAACCAGCTATATCCAGCTTAAACCAGGCTGGTCAAGCTGGTTTTAGCTGGATTTGGCTGGTCATTTTCCAGCCTGACCAGCTAACACCAGGCTGGAAATAGCTGGAAACCAGCCTGGAAATGGCCAAAACCCCTCTAAAACCAGCCTGGTCAACCAGCTAAAACCAGCCAACCAGCCTAGGCTGGTTTAAGCTGGATTTTTCAGCAGGGATGCTGTTGTTCTATTGAAATTTTCATTCCAAAATGGCCGTTGCGTGACACTAAAGGCATCTAACGGCTGTTTCACAAATCGCAGAGTGTCGCCTCTTGGTGATTCTTTGCTCTTTGGTACAACTAGCTGCCTGATTCTCAATCAAAGGATTTTAAATGGCACAGAAAGTGTAGCCTGATTCCAAACAAATGACTCTAATAAGTCAATACTTTTATTTAAATAAATGCATTTAATTAATCAAAATAATGCATGCAGTGCAGTCTGACTTCAGAAAAATTACTTTAATGAGCTGATTTTATTAGTGAATCAAACACATTCTAAAAAACAACTGGCTGAGTCAGAATTCTGAACAAAAGTCTCTAATGATCGATTCTTTTTAGTGAGGCAAACACAACAACAACATCCAATACAGAGCAACTAGAGCAGCCTGATTCTTTTTTTTATTCATTCATTTTCTTGTTGGCTCAGTCTCTTTATTAATCCGGGGTCGCCACAGCGGAATGAACCGCCAACTTATTCAGCTCGTTTTTACGCAGCAGATGCCCATCTCTGGGAAATGATTCTTTTTTTTAATTAATCAAAATAATACAGTTCAAGCAGTGCAGTCTAACTTCTAAAAAAATGACTTTGATGAGCTGATTTTATTAGAGAATCAAACACATTCGGTACAAAAAACTATTGGCTGAGTCTGAATTTTGAACAAATGAGTCAATACTTTCTCTGTAGGTAATCAAAACCACACAGTGACACAAAATGACTTCAATGAGCTAATTCAGTCAATCAAAAACATTTAGCAAGAAGAAGAAAAAACTGATGTAGCCTGTATTTTGAACAAATGACTCTAATGAGTCGATTCCTTTAGTGAAAAAAAACAACAACATCCAACACAACTAGAGCTACCTGATTCCCAAATAAATGACCCTAGTCAGATGCTTATTTTAGTGAATCAAAAACAGTTAAACAAGAAGAAACTTTTTACATAGTCTGAATTTTAACAAATGATTCAAAGTCGTTTCCTTTAGTGAATAAAAAAACATCCAGTACAGCTAGAGCTGCCTGATTCCTAACCAAATGACTCAGTGAATCAAAAACATTAATAATAGCACAGCTAGTGTAGTCTGATTCTTTCTGAGTGGATACTTTTTCTGTAGGTAATCAAAATCCCACAGTGCAAGCAGTGCAGTCTGATTCCTGACCAAAATGACTTCAATGAGCTGATTCTCTCAGTCAATGAAAAAAATTTAGCAAAAATAAGAACTGGTGAAGTCTGAATTTTGAACAAATGATTCTAAAGAGTCGATTCCTTTAGGTGAATAACAAACAACAACATCCAGTACAACTAGAGCTGCCTGATTCTCAATCTAATGAGTCTATTGAGTCGATTTCTTTAGTGAATCAAAACAACAACATACAGTACAACTAGAGCTGCCTGATTCTAAATCAAATGAGTCGATTTCTTTAGTGAACCAAAACAACAATCAGTTGAACTAGAGCTGCCTGATTCTCAATCTAATGAGTCTAATGAGTCGATTTCTTTAGTGAACCAAAACAACAACATCCAGTACAACTAGAGCTGCTTGATTCCCAAATAAATGATTTTAATGAGATGATTATTTTAGTTGATTGTTTTTAGTGCATCAAATACAACAATAACATCCAGTACAGAGCAACTGGAGCTGCCTGATTAAATGACTCTAATGAGTCAAAACTTTTTTTAATTAATCAAAATAATACAGTGCAAGCAGTGCAGTCTGAGTCCTGAACAAATGACGTTAATGAGCTGATTTTATTAGTGAATCAAACACATTCAGTACAAAAAACTATTGGCATAGTCAGAATTTTGAACATTCATTGTATCCACAGTTTTTTCTGCTAAACCAGACAAGAAATCAGTCAATTTTAGTAAAAGAAAAATCATGGTTTGGGGTAACATTCAGTATGGGTGCATGCAAGAAATCTGCAGAGTTGACGGCAACATCAAGAGCCTAAGGCATCAAGACATTTGTGCTGCCCATTCTATTCTTTTCATTATTTTTGTTAAGTGACGACTTTAGTCAAAGCAAAGACCTTCAGACCTTTCTGTTCTAATTAAATAATAAAAAAATCAAGGCATGATACTATTTTATTTTGGTAAAATAAGCATAATCTAGAGGCATTTGCCTTTCATATAAGCCACTTCCTATGCCAACCGATCAACTAGAAGTCAAGTTATTATTTGTTTGTTCCTAAAACTTGGATAGAAGACAAGACTTTTGTCAGGTAATATAGCTGTCTGATTGTCAATCAAATGACTGTAAGGAAATTATTCTTTTAGTGAATCAAAAACATATACAGCACAGCTAGTGTAGCGTGATTCGAAACAAATGTCTCTAATGTAATGAAATAAAATAATTAAAAAAAGGAGTATTTAGGTAATCGAAATCATACAGTGCAAGCAGTGCAGTCTGATTATTGAACAAATGGCTTCAATGAACTGATTCTCTCAGTGAATCAAAACATTGACAAAATTGGCACTGTCTGACTTTTGAACAAATGACTCTGAGTCGGTTCTTTTTTCCCCCATAGAACCAAAACAACAAGTGCAACCAAAGCTGCAGATTCTCAATTAAATGACTACAGCAAAGATGATTATTTTAGTGAATCTTACACATTCAGCATAGCACAACCAGTGTAGTCTGATTCTGATTGTAAACTTTATTCAAGATTCAAAATAAAAGCCACTATCTAACCCCAATGTACATCATGGAAGAGCCAGGATAAATCTTCTCTAAAACATATGCCAGAGTAATTGGCAGTTCATTCTGCTGTGGTGACCCCTGACAAGTCGAGGACTAACTCGAAGGAAAGTGAGTGAGTGTATCCTCGGAAATGTACTCATTCACATGGGGTCATATTTATCACTAAATTTCAATTCAAACTTCAGGGAAAATGCCTGAATAAAAGTGTTAAAATAGAAAATAATTTTTAATAAAATGTAAAAAAACTAACGATTATAGGTCCAACATAACATATATATATATATATATATATATATATATATATATATATATATATATATATATATATATATATATATATATATATTGCTATAATTCTATTTTAATTATTGTTACTCATATTTCTGTCTGCATCTCTGTAGTGATATGAAAGACTTTTATTTCATCCATACAATTTCATCAGATTGGACTGCCTTTAACTGTGCAACACATTAATGAACCCATTTTGAAGCGTATCTGATTCCCATCTCTAACTCTGAAGTGTCATTGAGTACGTGTGTTTGCTGTATTTGCCATATAAAAAGCTCTTCTCACATTCTGAAAGCATGTTTGTGTGTGTTGATGATGCTGTACTGTTCCACACCCATGTTATCAGCACAGTACAGACAGCAGCCGTTGACACGACCAGAGGCCCTGAATACAGAAGGCCCCGCGACCGCACAGATGTACACCAGCAGGAAACACACACAGAGCAAAGCCAGCAGGAGACTGGAAACATGCACAAATATCAACTCACTTTTCCACATCATATGAATTTTTCCGGTCACACCTTACAATAAGCTTTCATTAGTAAAGTTGTGGATTAGGTATATTGCAGAACAATGTTGTATAAAACCGAAGGGCTTTATTTTGTGAAAACAACCATTCAGAATGTACTTTATACTGCTTATTGCAATTTTATTAGACACAAAATATGTTATTTTGGCCTGTAATAGTTTATTATTTCTTTAATTAAACAAAAACCTGCACACTATTAAGTCACAAGATGGCACCAAACAGTCAAAAATACAAAGCTGAAAAATTTAAATAGCTGATGGAGTACACACTAACCGGCACATTATTCAGTCACAAGTTAGCACCAAACTGTCAAAACGCAAAGCGAACAGAAACAAAAACAGCTGATGGAGGATACACTAACCTGCACATTATTCAGTCA